ATCAGGATCAAAAGGGTGTTTTCTTAAAATTTTATTTCAAGTAGAAAAAAATAAATTTTGCAACTAAAAGGGTCCCGATCAGGGCCCCCTTCGAGATTGGGGCCCGGGGTGGTCAATTTTCTGGTAGAATCTCACTACGTTGGTTTTGTTATTTACGGGGGTTTTAATCATGTTAGTATCATGTTTTATTTTTTATCCGCTGTTGGATTTCTTTGTTTTGATTTATTTAGAAAATTTCAAACATCATTAAAGATACAGTTTTATAACAAACACCCAGGTATAGTTGTGTAGTCCCATCACCAAAATTTAAAACGTTTTTTTGGAAATCGGTCTTTCCTTTGGGAAATAAATACTTTTAAATTTTTAGTGTTTTAAATTTTTTTTTACATTTATACTTTCATGTTTAATAAAAAGGTCTGTGGTTAAAAATCGGGTGAAATGAAAAATGGGGGAATAAACAAAACCAACATAGTGAAATTTCCCCAGTCTGATCTGGATCCATGCTTTTTCGCTATCAATTTCTATACCTGTATTAGGGTTTTTAATAAGCAAAACGGGGCATGGATCCTGTCGACTACAGGGAATGGCAGGTGGTGGGGGATCCATCTGGTCGCAAAAAAAACAATGTTGGTTTTGTCGTGCGCGGCTAAAAATATTGGGGAGCAGCTTGTGTCTCCCCAAACCTAAAAAGTGATATAGAAAGTTGTTTAGACCTTTGGGCATGTTTTTTTTTTTTGGATTGACCATAAGTTACAAAAAAAACGTGTCCATATTGTATGGTTTTAATTTTGTTTACATTTTACATTTAGCTAGTTATTATTGTCCTCCTTTTAACAGTTTTCTATTTCATTTGACTTTAAAGCTATCCAAAAAATAGTTATTTGAGCTGGATAGTGGAAATAGTTGCAAGCATTTTGAAATAACTTGTACATCTTCTCTCTGATTCATATCAGAAAACACAGTCATATATGTTGAAAAGGTCAAGTCCATGGTATTAGGGTTTTAGGTGTTGACATTTTGACTTCAAAGATGCTTATTTTCTGTGGGATATGAAGCATGCTAGGGAATAATAGAATCTATAATTGGGTTAGATAGAGGATAGGGAAATCCAAACCTGAGGGTGATCGGTTCTTTCGGGGGTGAACCCTTTGGGGAAAAAAAACATTTTAAAATTTTTTCCCAAAAAATTTTTTCCCACCAAATTTAGGTTTTTTTTCTTTGGCAAAAAATATCCCCAATTCATTTTATTTTCGAAAAAAAGTTGCCCAAAAATTTTTTAGTGTGTTAAATTTTGTAAAAAAGAAAATTTATAAATAAGGAGAAAAGTAGACCTTAGGTAGAGATGAATTATTGAAGTGTAAAAGTTATTTATTTTTTTGTTTGGCTCCATTTAAAAATCTAATTAAATTTCCCGTAGTTTTATATTCAATCATTGGGCCCCCAAAAAAGTTTTCATTTGGGGTTGGGTTAAAAAAAGGGGTTTAAAATGGTGTTAAAATGTGTAGGAAATACAAAAAAGAAGTAAAATTTCACAGCCCTGGGGGTGTGAGATTTAAAGGGCCCCGTGAGATAAAATTTTCCCGCACCAATATTTTTTAAGTAACCAAATTTTTAGATTTTTTTTATCGGGGTTAAATTTTTTGCCTGAAAAAAAGCTTAAATCTAAACTTCTTTATGGGGAAAGTTTTGGGGGTTTTTTAATTTGTATGGGGCCAGGCACTTCTAAAAAAATCTGGAAAGTTTTTTAAAATTTAACCAAATTCAAGTGGTTGGGTAAGTTTAAAAAACAAAAAAAAAATAAACAACATAAAACACAAAGGGAAAAATAAAAGTATTGAAAATGGCAAATTAAATTTTCCAATTTAAAAATGTAAAATGGGGTTTTTTATTTTTAACTAAAAAGTAATGTTTTTTATTTTAGGAGGGAAAATTTGAAAATTGATGTATTATGGAAAACCCTGGCGACCCATCAGAATTTGCCTATAACAACAAAAAATAGAGGCCCCCTCTAGATTATCCTGGAGTAAATTGATTAAACACCAACTCATTGCTATAAAAAACGTGGGATTATTGCTTATAAATTTTTAAAAACTCTCAATGGGCCCTGTAAACTCAAAATTCCTAAAAAATTTCCCCTTTTTACATTTTCAAATTTTTTTAGCCTAACCCCAAATTTTTTTTAATTTTTTTAAAAAACTTTTTAGCCAAAATTTTTCATTTCTAAACCCGAATGGGTTTAAAACCCCGTTTTTGTGCAATTTTTTCTTTATGGAAAAAAACTTCTAAAAAAACAAATTGGGAAAACTAAAATGGGAAAAATTTTTGTTTTTTACTCTCCCCTTTTGGGAAAGTGGACAGGGTAAAAACTGAAAATTTTTCGATTTTTTAAATGTTTGAATTTTCAAAAAAAATGTCGCGATTAAAAAAAAATAAAAAAGGGAACTGGAATAAATTTCCCCAGTGTAAACATATTTTAAATGAAAATTTTTTTCCCCTCTATTTTAATCTGCACTCGTCTCGGTAATTTTTTTATTACTATTTTTTAATTTTCAACTTAAAGTTCATCAATGGCCAACCACTTGAAAGGGAATGCAACAATACAAAACCAACAACTATCTTTAATTGCCCCCCAACCATAATTTCTTAATTCTATTTACAATGTATTCTGTTTACTAGTAAAACTCCTCATTTCCGAAAGCGTCTTGGTGGGCGGGTATTAATACATTTAGTGATAGTTTTCTAAGTTAAATTTAAATCATTTTTGTGTACACAGTGGGTTGATTAGTGTTTGTATTGCATATTACCTAAATAAATAGGAAAAGGATGACCTGAAACATTATGAAAGTCCGAAACATTATTTATTAGAAAAAAGTATTTTAGTTTACCGAAACAGGTCATTTGATGTCACAACGAACTGAGAGAATTTTGCAGAGAAAAATGAAATGCAAACATATTTTTAAAACAATAAATTGCAGTCTTTAAGTAGGCAATTTTTACGAACTGTTTTATCATAGTATTATCATTCTTCGTCTGCAATTTTAACATGAGTTGTTTATGAATTTACCCCAGATGGGTCAGACTAGGTCATTAAAATAGTAGATTGACCTCCCAAATAAATCAATTAACAGACTTTGTTCATTTTGACTATTATGTTGTATGTTTCAAAGAAAATACCACATGAACTTGAAATTCTATCAAATAACCAATATTAATGATAATATCCAAAAATACCCCTAGATAGTATAAATTAACTTATACCATATAGGGGGTGTATTTTGGATATTATCGTTAACATTGATAGAATTAAAGTTCCTGTGGAAAAACATTTAATATTCAAATCTCTAGCAATTGACCAAAGGTCATGATGAACAATTTCTTTCGTCCGCCCATTCATAAATGATATACAATACTGGTTAAAACCAATTAACCATTGAAAAGTTTATAAGAATATCTGGTCATCAGATGTCTACTAGTTCATCTTTACTTGCTGCATTTCTTGCTTGGACGCCCTTTGATGCTTTGTATCAATGCTTTTCTTGTTTATCAATTATTATGATGTATTAATGTTTCAGTCCTGGTCACATGTCAAAAATAATAATCCATTTAGATGATATAAAAAGGTACATATATATTTATGCATGTATATATGTATGTAGTCTATGTTAAGGTGCACCTGTTAAGGCACTAATTCACTTGTTTTTCACTTGTCAAGAACGGCTCCCTGACACGTTGCCATTCATGTCCTTAAAGTGTTAATTTTGAAGCACAAAATGGTAATAATTTCACTCCAATGAATTTTGAGTCAAAAGTATATTTGTCAATGAGCACCTTACTGTACAGTATATAAATAACACATGGGTTTGTGGGTAACAGTGAAAATATCATCCTGAGGAAAATACTGTTACCCGAGGCGTAGCCGAGGGTAACAGTATTTTTACGAGGGATGATATTTTTACTGTTACTCACAAATCCATGTGTTATTTATTTTATTACCCTGAACAAAAAACTGAGATGATCTGAAATTGTCAACTAAATCTAACTGTAACAAAAATAAACCAAGACGGCAAGAGTAACAATAATTTAACTCATTTCCTTACCTTTTAAGTTTTAAGTGTACTTTACTGTAGGCTTACTTGAGAAGTTTTCTTTTTCTTTTATTCTTTTAGCAAGTGATGATATCTTCAAATCATAAACATACAATAAGCTAGGTTTTATTTAGGAAACAAAACACTAACCCATTTACACGGTTATTGATCTGTGAAATCTAATCCTTCTGTTTCCAGAATATTCTTAGCATGGTTTTTGACAAAATAACGATGATATCCTATGTCCACCATATCTGTAACGTTTCACTGATTAAATTTGTTAAATAATCCTTTGTTGCATGCTTAAATCGTCTGCATGTTCCAGTTTGACACATGATCATTTACATTGCAATTACTTCCGTTGAAAACGGATGTTCACTTTTTGACTATTCAGCAAAAAGATATTTTATACGCGAAAAGTACACAAGGGTGCAAAATGTTGAAAATAAGAATGAATCGAGAAAAAAATGGCGGCCATTTTATTTCATTTTATTTAGAAAATAGACCACGTGACCTCTTAAAAAATACTGTTACCTATGTAACAGTACAAAATTTTTAGTCACGTGGAACACTTGCATTAACAGTAAAAATAACTCCCAGAGGCCTATGGGAAATTAGCATTACGAAAAAAGTGAGGGGTAATAATAACCATTATCAATAATATGTTAAACATTATAGAAATATGAGTTGTTTATTTCCTTTTATAACTTACCTCACAAATTCGAAACCAAATTCTGGAAAGGGATGAATTTGTTCATGTGAAATGACTATCAAGTAAGCTGAAAGAAGTTAACTCTTCTTCCTATAAATGTGAACATATAAGTAGACATTATAAGTCTCATCTATTAACTTGTATTCTTTTTAAATTATTTTATTGACTTGTATATTAAAAAGTTTACTTATTTATGTTTATTTATAGGGTTACTTACAAGTGCTGTCAATTGTTGGAGGTCCTGTAGATACGACAGATTCTAAAACTCTTGCCTTACCTGTAGATGATAAAGGTGTATACCCCTTTAAACTACAGAGATTACTTGCCCTTGATGTTGATAGTCAAGATTTTGTGTTCCAACAAGGTAAGATACAAGTTAAAAATGGTTTCCTGAAATTTTAAATAATTTAAAGGCATTTCATTTAACTCTTTTCAAAATTGTTTGAACAAAAAAAAACACAGTTGCATTGAGAATATAGTTGAAAATAGTCAATCAATAGAGGAAGGTCTTTGAAGACCGTGACTGTTGAAGACTGGAGAGGGTTGATTAGGTCATTTGTCTGTATTCATAAATGGGTTGTAATAACGATCTGTATGTTTTTTGTATTTTTTGATTTAAGTGAAATAAAACATTTTTTTTTTAAATTTTAAATACCATTGTGTAAATACTTCTTTGCAAAAAAATGAAGTAAACATAAGTTTATGCAGAAAATATCTCTATTTATGGCTGATATCTCTATTTATTATTCATTATAAACAATTTATTTTTTTGTAAAATTTTAGATAGATGTTAAAGGAATATTGATAATTTTCAAACACATCAATTTTTTCCACCTTAACCGGTTAAATAATGATATAAAAATAGAAATATTGTAGTAGTATACACATATCAGTGTTATGTACATAATTAGGTGTACTTCCCAGAGCTAAATCCATAACGTACCAGAAAAAAGGTGTTTAGCTAGGTTTTCGAAAAGGTCAATCAACCAATCATATACAGTTTACATATCACGTGCCCCTCCATGTACCGAAAACGGGTCATGTGCTCCTCCATGCCTCAAAAACTAAATGCTTACCGCCCACAGGAAACATGTTCGAGAGAAATAGAAGTTTTTTACCAGACTGTTTGAAAGGGAAGTAATTATGCTGAATGTGAGAAATATAAGTTACATAATTTATGTCCCTTTAACATTGGATCATATGCTTAGTGAAGAAATGTTATTGTTTATTTTTGCCAAATTTCCAAGTGTTTGTCAGTATATGTTAGCTAAAGATACTTCAGCAAACAGGTTTTATAGTATTGCTAGACCTGTCGCAACATCAAAATAAAAGCGACATTTAAAGTTATGGAAGCCAGAACTAAGTATATGTATGAGTCAGTATTTATCAAAAACCAGATATAACTGGATTCTTTTCTCTTTCAATTTTTTAAATTTTTCATTGTCAATCAGTTTTATCAACATTTGCCTCCCCTAGGATAATAACATACTTAATTGAGGTTCTACCTGTGAAAATACCTTTTCAGATAAAAAAAGATGGTTGCTTAGTACTGATTGGTCTCAGGAATGGATTTGAGAGTGTTTCAAAAAACTTAGAGCTTTCAACACAATTAAACTAAAATAAATGAGTATAAACTAAAATACCTGTTACGGTAACTACCAGGTAAAAAACAGTCAGTACAAATAATAATGAGTAATAACTTGGACAAGGAGTGACCAGTGTACAAGTTATATCATGGAGTGGTCATGTAAGGTTTTATATATATTTTTATGTTCAGGTGCTCTGGCAGAAGAAGGGGCACAAGATGATGTGGGGCTGGCCCCAGAAAAAGCTGCTTTCTTCCCTTCTTTGTCATTCCTAGGCACTCAGGTGAGATTTTTTTTTGGCACTGCTGAATATCAGTGACCATTAAAGTATCTAGAATTTAAATGAATGAAAATGTTCCTTTAAAAATATACTTTTCTTTGCTTTTTGTTATAGAGTGATATTTTATCAACAAGTAAAAAATCTGCTGTCTTTGGCTCAGAAAAAAGATCTTATTAATTTATCTAGCTCATTTCTATGATTTTACATCTGTGTAAGTTGTAACATAAAAAATAATGTAACCATTTTGTTATTCGGAATATGATATAATATTTGACTGATGAATAATGTTTGTATTTTGTGAAAATATTTCATTTCATTAACATTTCACAAAAATCTACAGTTTCTGCGGGGATTTTGTATTTATTCCTTCTATAACCGTAACACAATAAGCTGTAAGCAATCTAACTTGTGTTTGTTTGTAGTGCAAAGCATTGAAATATCGGAACATTAAATCAAATTAAAATTTAATTGGTCAAGAAATGTATTGCTTTCATTGAAGACATGGTAACATTTTTGAAACACACAAATGTTGTTGTTTTGTTTGTTTCAGAATAATATCAAAGTATGTATGGACAATTGTTACAATTTATAATAATGTACACAATCATGTTATTTTGTCTGTTTCAGAATGATATGATGGTATGTTTGGAAAATGGTGACATTTTAAAATGTAACATACAAAATGCCCTGAAACCTGCCAATGTAGATGAGGAGGATAGTTCAACTGAAGCACCTAGGATCTATAAACCCTCTCTTGTCATAGAGGTATATATTGTTATATTCATATATGAGCCGCGTCACGACAAAACCAACATAATGCGTTTGCGACCAGCATGGATCCAGACCAGCCTGCGCATCCGCGCAGTCTGATCAGGATCCATGCTGTTCGCTTACCAACTCTATTACAAGTACAGAAACTGATAGCGAACAGCATGGATCCTGATCATACTGTGCAGCTGCGCAGGCTGGTCTGGATCCATGCTGGTCGCAAACACATTATGTTGGTTTTGTCGTGACACGGTTCATATATACTATTTATATATATTTAGTCTTTTCACTTATTTACTAAAAATTAATCATGGAAAAGCACAATTTTATGTAACATAAAAGAGAGTTATAAATTAATATTTCTTATATTGGGATCATTCATGGCTGAGTTTTTAAGATTGTTAGCTTTGAACCACTTCTCCTATAATGATTTATGACATGTGTTTAAATTCTGCCCGGAACTTTGTATTCTTTCATGTGGCTGGGGAAGCTGTCCAGCTAGTTGGATGGTTCTACTTGGGTGTTTGCTTGTGCATGAGGCCCTCTATCAGTAAAGATAGAAAGTTGCCATATGAACATTATAGTGGTTGTGTAACTTAAAACAGAACCAAAAGAATGTAACTTAACTCAACCAGAAGAATGTAACTTAAAACTCAACCAAAAGAATGTAACTTAAAACTCAACCAAAAGAATGTAACTTAAAACTCAACCAGAAGAATGTAACTTAAAACTCAACCAGAAGAATGTTACTTAAAACTCAACCAAAAGAATAATAATCTATGATTTTGTCACTAGTTGAGTATTTGCATCATGAGAGAAAGCAATTTATTTTAAGATACTGATATTGTTGTTCAAGGTTTTTTTTTGTTGATTATAAACCACCTCTGGGTTATGCTTGCTCTGTATTGTAAAAAAGTTAAAAAAAATAGGTATATAGCTGAAGATTAAACTAGGGAGTGTAACACATACTTGGGTGTGTAACACATCCTAATAATAAATATTTGATTTGGGAATTATCTTTGTTTTTTTTTACAGTAATTCTTTATTTCCACTAGTTTCTAATTTTTATTTAATTTCTTTACTATAGTATTATTTATCTACAGGATGAGGCAGCTAACATAAATACGATTGGTAAGAATGTAGAAGCGGAATTGTTACGTGGACATAAGAGGAGTATTGTATTTATAGGATTTGTCCAGTATCTAAATGCATTAATCACTGTAGATGATAAAGGATTCATCAATAAATGGAAATATGCAAGGTAATATATTATACTGATATTGTAGTAAATGGATAAGATAGGCTTGATAAAGCATGTAATTTACTGTAAGAAAGCTGGCATCAAAAGTTAACGGTCTTGGTCACCATTCCATGCAGTCTGACCAGGGTCTTTACTATTGACTGACCAACTTTTAATGTTCATTAAATATCATAAAAAAAATATATATATTTGATGTAAAAAAAAAAAATTAAAAAAATAGAATGATGTTAACTGCACTACACATAATGTTATTTACCTCATTACATGTAAAGGCTGTAATAAGCAATACATAGGTCAAACTCATCAAAATGTATCAAGCAGGATGAATAAACATAGATTTGATATAAGAAATTGTAACATAAATCCAGTTTCACATGTTGCCATCAATTTGCGACGATCCTTGGGTCTTCCAACTTTAAAAAAAAAAATCAGCATGTACTGTTAAAACTTATAAAAATGAACAATGTGCAGAAAGAAACACATATTATGTTTTATTTTCAAGATAAGATAAAATGTTGATCAGGTAGATTTGACTGTATCCTTAACTTAACCAAGCTATTTAGATCTATATAACTTCTATTATAATTTTGACCTTAACAATTTTTTTTTTGTTTCCACAGATCACTATTTATGTAATTTGTGTTGATATTTCAGTAAATACAAGTCATCATATGGTTGGTTCATTCCTTCAAGAAAGTATAAATTAGAAACTTCCAAGATTATGTATAAAGTCTCAGGAAATGATAAACCAAAGGTATGTTACCATTTCTATCTTAACATGTTTTGAAGATTTTAGTGCATTATGTTATTTTAGCAAATGCAGATGAAATTTCAAGCTCATATATTTTATAGGGATACTTAAGGTATTTATGTCTAGAAATGGGCAGATACGATTGTCCATGATAGGTCCATCTGTCAGTCCACCAGTTGTGTGGACTTATTTGGCTGATGCAGGGGAGATATAAGCATTTTTTTTTGCCTTGTCAGAGTCTGCTGACAACTGTTATTAACCTTAACATTTGCTTTCCATGAACAACAGAATTCATTTCTTTGTACCCATCACACCTTTTAGCTAGCACTTAATTTGACATTGAAAAAATTCCGACATTGACGGTAAAATTTTCACAATTCTTTTTCAAATTTTATAAAAACTTATTGCTTATCATGTATAATATTCAATCATCATTGATCACTATATACAGGTTGTGTTCACAGATCAGACTGCTGAAGGGAAGAAACCAAGAACCAGACAGGAGATAGCCGCACAAAGACGTAGAGGTACAACATTTTTATCACATAACCTTACTGATTCTTTAATGATTCTATCATAGCAATTATAGACTCCAAACCATTCAATGTTATGCAATTATTTCATGATGATGAGGTGAATATCCTGGTCTAAAGACCAGGTGAGCATTTCACTAACATTTCATAAGTTCTACGTAAATTTGGACTTGCGCAAAACATAAATTTGCGTTAGTTGCCTTTCACTTAACAGAACGTGCAATTTATGCAAGTACAAAGTGAGCGTAACTTTACGTTTAAACTTATGCATATGCGTCACTAAGAAAGTTAAGTGAAAAACAAATAAATACTTTAGTTCGCTTACGCAAAAAGTTACGTTCAATCTCAAGTAAGGATAACTTAAGTCTGTTAATGAAACGCACCCCTGGTGTAATATATTAACCTTTTCTATAGTCTATGGACATATGTAGTAATCTAAAAGCCCTTTAAGTCAGTCACAATTGGTTTCTAATAATAAACAATTACATTTAGCACCACACTACATGACAATATCATCTAGAGTCTAGGTCAGTGTCACTTTTTAATGACTGTTAATCACAACACAGGGAAATTGGTAGTCATAGATTATAATATGATAATGGAATAAACAAAAATATTATACAGTACTAGGAGATAATTTATTTTTTTATTCTTATCTGACTATGTTCTGTTGACTACTTTGTTTTAGTATTTTGGTACTGAAATGCTTTAAATTGCTAATAGACAAATAGAAATGAGCCGCGTCATGACAAAACCAACATAATGGGTTTGTGACCAGCATGGATCCAGACCAGCCTGCGCATCCGTGCAGTCTGATCAGGATCCATGCTGTTTGCTTACCAACCCTATTACAAGTAGAGAAACTGATAGCGAACAGCATGGATCCTGATCAGACTGCGCGGATGCGCAGGCTGGTCTGGATCCATGCTGGTCGCAAATGCACTATGTTGGTTTTGTCGTGACACGGCTCAAATTTAAATCAGGGCTAGCCCATTATACAAGATTAGCAGGGTTAGGGATGATACTCAAAAGACACATTAATTTGTATAAAATTGTATGTTATATATTTTAGTTCAGAACACAATAGACAATATGCAGCTTGGAGACCCCTGGCATGAAGAGTATATAGAAGAAGATGAAGTTAATGTAAGTGTTATTTTTGTCACATTAATTGACTGCACACATAAATACAATATTGTAATCATGCTTATATTAATAATTTGTTAGAATTATTTTTAGAATTTGTACTTACTATCTTTTTAAGTTAACTCTAAAGGAGCATTAAAGTACAAATCTCAAGTTAAGAGTACATGTTCTCATCAGTGGTATTTTGGTTGGCATTGTGGTTGACATATGTCTTATGCCATTAAAATACTTCAATAATTTTATATAATACTTCAATAATTTTAACTAACTTTTGTCAAGAAGTTGGTAGTAAGTTTTCAGGTTTCCTGTACGTTTCAGAATACAGGAAACTTTAAAACCAACAAGGCACTAATATGTGACATGATAAACTGTTTAACCATCACAGAATTTATCTTGTTTATATTTCAGTTGCAAATATTTGCTCCACGAGGGGTTATAGCAGAGACAGGGGCAATGTTTCATCTTGTATATAAACATGAGGAAACAGACCAGCTGTCCACGTACATCACAAGGTTATATAAACCTGTCAAAGTAAGCTTTCTACTGTTATAGTTAGCAAATTCTGATGGCAAAATAACTGTTATACATTTTGAAGGTAATGATTACTGTGCCTATGCCATTAGCATAGAGTCAAGTCAATGTATTCTAGACACTGTCAGCTTCTAAATTTGTAACATTGTAACATTTATGTCAGTGGTGTGGTTGTAGTCAGGTGCAGGCTGATGCACAGAGAGCCACTTTATATCTTACTCTACTGATAAAGCTTGAAAGTTGCCATATGAGCCGTGCCATGACAAAACCAACATAATGGTTTTGCGACCAGCATGGATCCAGACGAGCCTGTGCATCCGCGCAGTCTGATCAGGATCGATGCTTGATCCATGCTGTTTGCTGTCAGTTTCTCTACTTGTTATATGGTTTGTAAGCGAAAAGCCTGGATCCATGCTGGTTGCAAACGTATTATGTTGGTTTTGTCATGGAACAGCTCATATGACCTTTATAGAATAAAAAAAGGAATAAAAAAATGTTAATTCCGATTTAGAGGACCTTGATATACCAACTGCCTGCTTCCTGTCATAACTTGTAATGGCACAAGTGTGGATTGTGGAAGTTGAAAGAGAATCTCATTCTCTAATAAGATTTGAAAGCATGATCTCTGGATTAAATGCCTGATGCTCTTCACCTACACCACTTTTCCTTCTTTTTTTCTTAAACTTTCATATAATAGGGAGAAAAATGACAAAGGAAATTACTATTTTCATTTTCAAGTTGACTGGAAGGAAATAATTTGTATCCAAATTTCTTTTAGAATACTGTATGTTAACACACTTTTCTGTAATTAGATAAATTATGATGGTATTTGCAGGTGAGATGTTCAAGAATTGTAAGTGTTGCTGGTTCCCCTACTAGCACAGAACTAATTGTAATGTTGCTATTTGGACCTTATCCTCCTAAAGGTATGTCTTTGTAATATAATAAACATAGGTACAGTCAAACTTTGTTCGCTCGAACTCAGAGGGCCTGTGCAAATTTGTTCGAGAGATTGGTAGTTGGAGCCAACCAAGGTTGAACTATTATTAAAAATCATAGTCACTTTTATTACAAGTATTATTCTATAAAAAGATTACACAGTTAGAATTCACGTTATATGAACCATGGTTGTAATTAAAGGGGTCTGTGTAAACGTCATTTATTTATTGACTTTTGCGCATTTCAGGAGTTATTTTCTTTTTATCGTTACTAAAGACGGCAAATAAACAATTGTATCATAACAAACAAATCGGTTACAACACCTTTTATTTTGTATCAATTAACCTTTTTGCCTTTGTGACGATCACGAGGTGTTAAAAACGTGTCGCCGACTGTCAATTATTTAGAACATGTTGACCCGCAACTTTTGTTGTCTGTTTGTGTTCGAACAAAAAGGTGTAATTTACACTATATTTCTGCCGAAGGGACCAGTGATCAGGTTCGAGAGTTCAAGCGATGGGTGTTCGAGCGATCTGAGTTTGAGCGAACAAAATTTAACTGTATATATTATAAAGTGCCCTCTATTGCTATTTTTATATTTGATAATTGTGCATGTTTGTGCCTAAAATAATGCACGGAAGGGCATATAAGGTCTTCCTCCACCAGTAAAGCTGGACAGTTGCCATATGACTGATACTGTGTTGATGTGACGTAAAACCCAACCAAAATTAAATCAGATAATTACCATTACTGCCCTTACATATCTAATTAAAGGGAGGCCAGCTTAAACATTTATGTGCAGTTTTGACAGTCTGATCCGGGCAGTCTGATCAGGATCCATGCTGTTCGCTTATAAACTCTATAACAAGTAGAGAAACTGATAGCGAACAGCATGGTTCCTGATCAGACTGGTCGCAAATACATTATGTTGATTTTGTCATGACACGGCTCAAATATAATTTTTATGTCCTTTTCAAGTGTCACCATGAAGTACTGTTCACTAATTATTGATATCAGTTTGTAAGTTATCATTTAGACCGAAAGACTTATTTGTTATTTTGTTGCTCTAAAGTATACAATATTGTATGACAGCACACTCAAAGTTAAAACATTTGTATACACTTCCTTATCAATTATCTGTAATCATTGTGTCTTATTGTTATTTCTTCAGGACCACATGTTACAATTTTCATCATTGACCTTGTGAAGATGGAATTACGAGACTTTCGTAAAGATATCGATCTATCCATGCCAGAATTCAATCTGATGTCAACCAAAACCATTGTATCTTTTGATGTTCGTATTTTCATTTTGTTATCAACTCTTGCTAAAAAAAATATTTACCTGTATCCTAAAGGAAAGTATTAAGAAAAATAATTAAAATAAGACATGTTGTGTTCCTGTTCTTTACTCCTTTTGATATACTCTCAAGACTTTTATGAAGAAAAAATTTCTGGAAAGAAAATGAGAGGAATCTGCCTGTATGCTACACTTGCAGCTAAACATGTTGAAATGTTTGCCTGTTCTTTTATTAATGCTCAATTATATGATTATTAATAAATTGCTCGGGCCTGCATGATTTATTAGTTAAAGTAGCTGACCTTGAGTCTTTTACCCATCTTGAATCATGCCAGGGACTTAAGATTCTGTTCTCTTAAAGGAACTCAACTGAGAACAAAATGCATAAAAACCTGAAATTAGAATATCTTAAAAATTATCAAGAGAAGAACTTAAAAAGAAAAATCTGCAAAGAAATATCAAAGAAATATACCCAAAATTAAATTAAAAATCTATTTTATGTGTGATTCTTAGATGAATTTTAGTGAAAAGCATTGTAACACTCTTCATTTATGGGACATTTTTCACAATAAAAATGATAATTTTGAAAACAGAATGAGCTGAAAATTTGCACACAAGTTACTGGATAAGACCTTAAACAATTAGTTCACAAATCATGGAAAATATTTTCAGTCCCATCATGTAAAAAAAAACCTTACTGGAGTCCCTTTAAGAAGTTATCCAGTTAATTTACAACAAGTTAATCATTCTGCTCAGGTACCTGCTTATGCCTGAAATTCATTTGTAATTCATGGAGGGGCACTAGAGGTCAGTAAAACTGGAGAGTTGATAGATGATTTTATTGATATGAAGACATCCTGGGTATGGTATCTATATTAATATGATATCTATATTAGCTATATTATTTCCTGTCTTTTACAGTATTTTTACAATCCTTTGCTTATTTTATTGTCCATTTTTTTCAGATCTCCAGATACTTTGGACCTACTGGCACAGAGTACATGTTTATTATATTTAATGGTGTCTTACGATGTTTATCCTTGACTACTGGCCAACCTGTTGTGAAAGTAGGTCAGGTGAAATCCCACTTCGCCAACAATGATGATGATGATGATGAAGATGAAGATGATGAGGACGAGAAAGGTATCAGGATAAACTCTTTACCGTACCTTTTTTAAAATGAGTCAGTAGTTGAAAATAATCTTTAAAGTAGGCTTATTCTGAGGCATCCTACATCATTAATTGTTTCATGCTTACACTGCCAAATGTTTTTTTTAAATAGAGCATCGACAACCTAAATTTCTCCAGGTTTATTTTAATGAATTTTGATATCAAAATATTAATACCAAGCAGCTAACATTAAAACATGTACCTCTCTGGCGTGGGTTCTATCCCCGGGAGATGCTTTGGTAGTTTAGCGGGGAGGAAGGTAGTCTACTGGTGTAACTCTCCAGGAATGATGGTTAGAAAACTATTAGCCTATATGACTGAAATACTGTTGGGAAAAGGCGTAAAATGAAACAAACAAACAAATAAATCAGGTCTGACTGCCTGAATGTGCAGACTGGTCAAGATTTATTTATACTAGTGGCCTAGACAAGTCTTTAGGGCAGCTTGCATTATAAGAGTTTATCATCTATTGGTCAGAAAAAACCTTAAAACTTTCAGTTGTTTTATTATAGCTGATGCTACATGTACCATTATCACAAATAATATTTACATTCAGCATGATTTTGTCAGGTGATTTGTATCTTACATGTTCTAAAACTTACATTACAACCTTGCAAAGCACATGTTTATCCTTTTCATAGAAAGATTTTTATTGTCATTTTTTTTAGGCTTAATATGCCTTTAAATATGTTAAATGTAAAGAACAAAAATCTTAACCATTACAGATCCAGAGTTCAAAGGTTGTGTTGTGGATGAGACATTACTTCAAGCCCCTCCTGACTCCCAGTGTACTGTCGTCTGCTTTGAGGGAACTATTCATTGTGTTGTTTATGCTAGAGTGAGTTAATCTAAGCTAAAATTATGTTCTGTATTTTAACCTTACTCATGTATGGCTTGTGGGATGATGGGAGTAAATTTTACCTTATCCATCCGCCACCCTGTTTTTTCGTTGCTGAACTGTGGAATATGGGGTCATCAATGTCCTGTGAACTTATTTCTAGTTTTTATTCTCAGATGAAAGTTACACTTGTACTTGTAAACAAAAAGGCAGTATAATGAAATGTCTAAAACTTGGATGTATTGTCTGAAAATAGAAAGTGTATTGTAGAATTTTTCTGTCATATATCACTATTGAGAGGAAACAGACATTGTTTTTTGTCTTGCTGGCTTTATAATGTGCAGGCGGGGCTATTATTTTCAAAAGATGGGGCGTCCGTGGCCGAGTGGTTAAGGTCATTGACTTCAAACCACTTGCCCCTCACCGCTGTGGGTTTGAATCCCGACAGGGACTTTTGGTTCTTTCATGTGAGGAAGCTATCCAGCTAGCTTACAGAATGTCGGTGGTTCTACTCAGGTGCCTGTTCGAGCCTGAAATAAAGCACAGAAGGGCACCTGAGGTGTTCGTCCACCAGTAAAGCTGGAACGTCACGATTTGACCTATACTGTGTCGATATAACGTAAAACCCAAATCAAAAGCTAAAAGTTATAAGATGATATTTTGTTGATTTTAAGCCTTTTACCTGTTGAATTTGATCTACTTGAATTAGAAACTGTTTGTTGAATGTCAGTTTGAGGAATTTTAATTTGTGATTAGAATATTTCAACTGTACTAATGTAATTTTGTAGACCTAGGCCTGTATTACTGTGCTGTTACTGTACTGTACAGTAGAAATGCAGACAGGAATTTCAACGAAAGAAATTTCAAAGAAATTTATTTTAGAAAAATGCTTCTATTAGATCTACCAAGTGTATTAAAGACATTAATACAAGTCTTAGTTGTGCCAGAAGGTGATAATTGGCCCTGAAATGAATAATGCCATTATTCATTTTTTGGGCCGATTATCACCTTCCGGCCCTACTCTGCCGTGTATTAATCTCTTAATCCAAAGCAGTTGTCTTTAAATGTTTTATGTCTTGTGAAAATGATGCATGTAATAAAAATTTATCTCAATAAAACATCATGAGTTTTTCTTTCAGTTTTAAAATAATTTACTGTTACTTATATGAGTTATAAATGTTTACTTTCAGAAACTGGGCAAGATGTTTGTTGTAACATTTCAAGATAAAAATGTGTATGAAGATAGAAGAGCTATGTGGAAAACTTACACTTCTCTGTAAGTATTTGAAGTATAATTTTGCAGTGTGGAGTGATTGGTAACTGTAACATCCACATTGTAGACTTTTATACATTACTTTAATCAATTCATGGGGCCTACAATGCTAGGTCACTGACTTGATCACTTATTCATTAAGAATCTGGGTTTGTTTTCGGAATGGGACCTTGATTTATTTCATGTGAGAAAGTTATCTAGCTATCTCATAGAAGGTTTATGGTTCTACTTTTGTTCCCTACTTAAATAATTCATCAGAAATTGTCTTCCATCAGTAAAGCTGGAAAGTCACTATATGACTAACAGTAAAGAACTAAACCAAACTCAACCATTCACTCAAGACCTTAATAAGTACTTTGTTTAAAATAAAAATCATCAAAATGATTTTAAAGTTTTTTAAAAATGAAGTAATTTTTTACTAAACATGAGTACCTGTTTTTCTTGGTTTATTTAATCATAGACTAAAATGACTGCTTTATAGTGTAATCATATAAATATAGTCACAAGTACATTATATTTGCAATCTGTCATACAGTTCTTATATATAATTTTTGTTCCAGGCCTGGTCAGAAACTGGTACCAGCAGAACTCAGAGTAAACACACACAACTGGAAGCTTGATGACATGCAGCACCCAGCTGTCAATGCTCGTAAGATCTTGTTAAAGAAGATAGATACTGAAATGAGGAAGGCTGGGCTTATCAGAGATCATCCAAAGATTATACGTAGGATAGCGCTCTCAGACAAAGTAGAGAATTACAAGAGTCTGGATAGAGCGGTAAGAAAACATAAATTGAAAGTCTTCTTTTTTCTACCTTTTAAGAGTGTTGAAAAGTATTACTCTTCTCTTGTCTATCTTTTCAAACTCTAAAAAAGCATTAAAATTACGATTGAGATTTAAGCGTCGTCAAGTAACTGGAAATTGTTGCAATGAGAATCGGAGAAATAAATTTTGACACAAATATGAATTTCCTTTATTTTAGGTGACTGAAAGTACTTTACTAGAAAAAGAAGGAATCATGCAGAAGAGAGCAGCTAGCAGAGTTTCCATGGCAACACCTGAACCCACAGATGATGACAAATTCTGATCTTGTAAGGTCTCTATGACAACACAACAATCAACAGATGATCTTGTAAGATCTCTATGACAGCACTACTATCAACAGTTGATGACAAATTCTGATCTTGTGAGATATTTACGGCAGCACCACAGCTAATATATTATGACAAATTCTAATCTTGTAAGAATTCTATAACAACACCACAATCAACAGATGATGACAAATTCTGATCTTGTAAGATCTCTATGACAACACCACAATCAATAGATTATGACAAATTCTGATCTTGTAAGATCTCTATAACACCACAATCAACAGATGATAACAAATTCTGATCTTGTAAGATCTCTATGACAACACCACAATCAACAGATGACGACAAATTCTGATCTTGTAAGATCTCTATGGCAACACCACAATCAACAGATGATGACAAATTCTGATCTTGTAAGATCTCTATGGCAACACCACAATCAACAGATGATGACAAATTCTGATCTTGTAAGATCTCTATGGCAACACCACAATCAACAGATGATGACAAATTCTGATCTTGTAAGATCCCTATGGCAACACCACATTCAACAGATGATGACAAATTCTGATCTTGTAAGATCTCTATGGCAACACCACAATCAACAGATGATGACAAATTCTGATCTTGTAAGATCTCTATGGCAACACCACAATCAACAGATGATAACAAATTCTAATCTTGTAAGATCTCTATGGCAACACCACATTCAACAGACGATGACAAATTCTGATCTTGTAAGATCTCTATGGCAACACCACAATCAATAGATGATGACAAATTCTAATCTTGTAAGATCTCTTTGGCAACACCATAATCAATAGATGATTACAAATTCTAATCTTGTAAGATCTCTATGGCAACACCACAGTCAACAGATGATGACAAATTCTAATCTTGTAAGATCTCTTTGGCAACACCATAATCAATAGATGATTACAAATTTTAATCTTGTAAGATCTCTATGGCAACACCACAGTCAACAGATGATGACAAATTGTAATCTTGTAAGATCTCTATGGCAACACCACAATCAACAGATGATGACAAATTCTGATCTTGTAAGATCTCTATGGCAACACCACAATCAACAGATGATGACAAATTCTAATCTTGTAAGATCTCTTTAGCAACACCACAATCAATAGATGATGACAAATTCTGATCTTGTAAGATCTCTTTGGCAACACCACAATCAATAGATAATTTCATTCCACAATCTGCAAATGATGACAAATTCTCATCTTATAAGATCTTTACAGCAACACCACAATCAACAAATGATTTCAATTCCTTATCTTGTAAGATCTCTATGGCAACATCACCATTAACAGATGATTACAAATTCTGTTTTTGTAAGGTCTTTAAGGCAATCAAACACAACCTACATGTTAGTTAAAGGTTTGTCTTGCAAAGTTTACATTTGCAATTCTTGATTTCAAACCCATAGATGATGATAAATGTGATTTTACAAGGTATCCGTGGCAACAATCATCAGAGGATTGTAAATACTATATCCTGTTGGTTGTCCATCATAACACCCGATCAAGATGGTGATAAATTTCTGCTTTTGGAAGATGTTGTGATTCCCGGCTCTGATATTAGACATGCTTTCTCATTCATCATTCATTTCTTTAAGATACAGATGGTAGTGCACTGTCCAAGTTCATAGTAATGAAATCTTTCAACCATAAACCAAACATTGTTACTAGTATATGATTATACAAGAAATATTACTTTTAAATTCCATTCTAATGTACTTAAAGAAATACCAGTAGAACCAAATTTTAGAACAGAAATTTCAGGGTTTTGCATAATACTTGTGTAACTTTTTCAGTCATTTCATTTAGTAAAAAAAGTGTTATGCAGAGGCATTGATTTATTTTCTACATGTGATATTTTCCTGCTACATCTCATATGTCTTCCTCACAAATTGTTCGATTAATGTCTTCCATATCAATTTATATCAAGCATGCTAGTAATAAATATTAGCGAATTACACCATTATAAAACATTGTTCTTGAAAATTAACAAAGAAAGAACAACATTGGATTCATAGCAGGACATGACGTCTTACCATACCATTTTAAACACTTCACTGACTCTAGAAGGACTGTGAATTATTGAAACATTGTGTGTCTCTTTATTTTATCTTGATCATATCATGTTTTAACTGTGATACAAAAATTGCTCAAATTTACAGGCCTTTTTTGCCATTATTATGTTGTATCACAGACTTTAAATCATTTAAAGTCTGTGGTTTTATAAATACATGTATCTGGGCCACACCTAGTGATTGGTCTTTATGATTATTGATTTATGATTTATTAAAAAGAAAAACACATTTTTTTTTCATTTTTTGTTAAGTGATTTTGTAAATACTCGTTCATCATACCATTTGTACAAGCCTCATTGCATTGTTGGACACGGTAAATATTATACTGCATGTATATTGTAACCTAACTTCTTGTGACACACAACTAGATGCACCATCTTCTCAAATTTATTCTATAATCTTAACAAGGTTTATAATTATTGTATATACGTCTCATATCATTTTTGTAGAAAAGTTTTATCAGGTGGAGCTAAGTCTTTTCAATTTATTTATATATACATATGAATGCATAAATTATTAGAAATTTTCATACATTATTATAATATGTTTTATCACATGTTTTCATATACATATGAGCCGCGTCACGACAAAACCAACATAATGGGTTTGCGACCAGCATGGATCCGTGCAGTCTGATCAGGATCCATGCTGTTCGCTTACAAACCCTATAGCAAGTAGAGAAACTGATAGCGAACAGCATGGATCCTGATCAGACTGCGCGGATGCACAGGCTGGTCTGGATCCATGCTGGTCGCAAACCCATTATGTTGGTTTCGTCGTGACGCCACTCATATACATTGTTGTATTGCCATATACCATATAAATTTTACATGTTACAATTCCTATATAAATCTATCATCATTATTATGTTCAGTTTGTTTTAATCACATTTACTAAGTTACATAAAGCGAATCTCAGTAAATCTCTTAATTATCTATAGTATTATAAAATTATAGATTTTAATGTACTAGCCCCTAGGGAATATTGGTTGAAATAGAAGAATTAAATTTTTAATAATATTCCAGTTGTCAATATATCCATTTATTATCTTACAAAATGTCTGATAAATGAAACTGTCAGAGAATTTTCTGCTTAAAACTAATGATGTGTAGGATTGGTTATTTGTTTTGCTCCACAGATATTTGGGTTCCCAGAGTATTTCTCAGAATAAAATATCAGTTATTAGAAAAAATAAATGCACAAAACTGGCACCTGTTTGTTTTGATGGTTTAAATAAATTCTGTCAGACCTGTTTTAATTCAATTAAATTTACAAATCAAAAAAGTGTTTGCACACAGCTAGTTAATTAGGCAAAATTCATCCCGACTCCCCAAAGTTTTAAAAAAAATGGAGGGGGGATCCATGGGCTTGAGTTTGGGTTTAAAGGGTTGGGTTTATTTTTAAAACCACTTTCTTCTCAAATGCGTAGGTTTTAAACTTCACTAGCATTTTTAGGGAAATTTTTTCTGTGAGAAAGCTACCAGCTAAACCCAAATTTTGGAATTCCCGTGGTTTTTTACTCTGGGGCCCGTTTGGAAACCCGAAAAAATTTCCAAGAGGGGGGACCTGAGGTTTTTCCTAAAAAAAAAAAAAAGACACAAGAAAAACAACATTAATCTTAAATTTTGCTGACAGCCTGAAACATATTTACTGCAAATAAAAGCAATCAATGTAATGAACTGGTCATGCATACATTTTGTGATTGTTAAACTCCTAAATTAAGACATTTTACTATCATGGTCAAATGTTCATGTGATTAATTGTGACCATGTTATAATGATATTGTGTTATTATTTATTGAGATATTGTTATGACTATTTGAAAATACACAATCTAATGTTGATAATAAATTTTAAGAAAGTAATGTTTTTTCTGCTTATCAATTGTATGTTATGTATGTACAAAATGTATATAAAAATCATTAAGGAAAACAACTTTATTTTTAGAGGATGTCATGTTTAAAAAAAAAAGTAGTTTAAACGGACATCAAAATTTTAATACAGTCAATATATGATTTATATCTCATTTTCTGTGACAAAGTCCTGTTTGGGGATATTTGTGCAGTTAATTATAGCTGTAGTTTGTCTACAACAGTCAGCTGATATGAGCCGCGTCATGTCAAAACCAACATAATGAGTTTCCGACCAGCATGGATCCAGACCAGCCTGATCAGGATCCATGCTGTTCGCCATCTGTTTCTCCACTTGTTATAGAGTTTGTAAGCGAACAGCAAGGAGCCTGATTAGACTGCGCGGATGCGCAGGCTGGTCTGGATCCATGCTGGTCGCAAAACGCACTATGTTGGTTTTGTCGTGACGCGGCTCAATTATTAACTTGTATAGTTGATACCGTCGTGACGGAACTGTAACAATATATTCCTCCATAGAAAAACCGAAGACATTATCCTGTATGCTTCCAAACAAAGTAAATCAGATCATTTGACAGCATCATACAACTGCAAGATTTTGCCATAGTCTACTGATATGTAAGAATTGTAATGCCCTGGATATGAATGTTAAGATTTAATTATATGTTAACTGGTTTTAAAGTTTAAAACTTTAAACATTTATGAAGGTGTATTGGCATTTGGTATCTTCCCATATTTTCAAAATATATTCCTTGTGTCTGTAGTAAGGTTGTGGATTATGAAAAAATTTCTTTAGAAATAAAGTAAAAATTTAATGACATGTTTGTGTTACGATCCATTGAAATGCTTGCAGTAATTAGGATTTGTCTATGTTACATGTATAGAGCCTAGCCAGCATTCACAGTTTGACCAGTTGTTGTATGTATAACTTCAGCATTTGAATTAGTCACACGCGTTTCCCATTTTGACAGCTTCAAATTCAAAGCATGATAAGACAATGTTTTACGCAAGTAAAGCATGATGTTCACTAAATATTGTTTGGGTCTATGACATTCTATAAATGTGGACAAAGTTGATGTCTGTGTAATCTCCACCATAACAGTTGTTGCACTTCTTTGTTTCCCCACACACATGTACAGCAAATGGACACTTGAGATTCTCCAACACCACTTTTCCAATAGAACAATCTCCTGATAACTCCTTTAAGACTTTCTCTCCTTGTCACACACAAAAATTGTATCACCATCTGACAGTGCTAAACCACTAGGAAAACCCATTCGACCATAGCTTCCAATCAAGTCTCCCTGCCAATTAAATCTTGTTACTTTCCTTGTTTCCACATCGGATACATAGATAGAACTACTATTACATGCGACATACCGTGGCTCATGCACAATATTTTCCCCAAATATTGTAAGTACGGTGCCCTTCATATCAAGGATCTGGAGTTTTGCAGGATAAAAGAATGAAACAACAAGTTTATCTTGATAACAGCTAACACCATAACAGCTTTCATGGACCTTCACACTGTGCTTGCTTTTAATTTTTTGAGATGAGATTGATACAAACTGTATTGCATGTTTGTCGGGAAGTGTGACAGCAAGTTCTGTACTGGTAACTGTGGTAATATCCCATGGTTTATAATCAAGTTGTAGTTGATCACACACAGATTGACTGCTGGTATCCAACAGTTTAACAGTGTTGTTATCATGGTCAGTGACGACAAGAAGATCAGGGCTAAGGTAGGTTATCCCTGTTATCCAACATGTAGAATTATCTTCTGATCTCTTTACACAGATATCTCTTTTCTGTATCCATGTAGCTAATGAGGTCTCTGTTCTAAGCATGACTAATATTCCCTCATTTATTTTACAGGTTACCTCACTGTTATTGTATGAAGTAAGCTGTAGTGATTTATCCTCTATGTCTTTCATCTTTTTCTCTGCAAGTTTGAGTTCCATGAAAAGTTGATCAGCTTGATTTGATGTGTTGAGGCGTCTGATATTATCTGACAATCTCTTCATAGCTTTGATCACATCTTCACATGTTGTTTCTACTACCTTTAGATGTTTCTTGTTTTCTTGTTCTATGACCGTTGCTTCATTTTCAGTCTGTCTCTCCAGTTCATCTAGTCTTTGGTTGATTTCTTGTCGAAACTTTCTGATGTTTGCTAGTGCCTCTTTCAGGGAGCTGCTAGATTTGTCTGTCATTTTCTGAACATCTTTTACTATCTGTTGATATTGGTCAGAAATGTTATTTACTGTTTTCAATATATCTTTATATTGTTTACTGTTTATTATATTACCAGAAACATCAGGTATGTAGTTGACATTGCAGGAAGTAACTGGGTGTTCAAAGGTAGCACAAACACTACACAGAGATTGTCTATGATCATTGCAATAGAACTTCATCATTTCTTTAGGGTGCTTCTTACAGGGTGTGGTTAGATCATCAGGCTGATCCAAGTAGGTGGCTGTTGAATGTTGTAAAGATTTAGGCATACTTGTAGCATCTAGTAGAATGTGATGTTTGGAAAGTTTATGTTTTTTATGGACTGTAAAACAAACCTTGCAAAGATGTTCCTTGCAGTTTGTGCAGTAACCATGGGCAGGAAGTCTGGTTCCTTCCTCGTCACATGGCTGACAGTAAACTTGAAGATCCTCATCTGATGACAGGGATGTTGTTTGTGGTGAAAATTGTGTTGATGATTTTAAGTCTGAGGCTGCCATGTTTCGTCTAAAATGTATAACATGCAAATTAGGTACATGGTGTAATTCAGGTACATTACCTAGGCATATGCATATACACACATGTGGTCAGTTGATTGAAAAATTAGAAATCCTTATGAAACACAATAAAGCGCAAATCCAGGATTTTTTACCAGAGGATATTTAAAATTTGGACAAAGAGTTGTGCATATTCCAAAAGGGGTTAAATGATATTCCAGAGGATGTCTTGAGTAAAAAGTTTGCTGATTTGCAATAGTTTTTGCATTATTATGCCCCCCTTCAAAGAAGAGGGGGTATATTGTTTTGCTTATGTCAGTCGGTCTGTCCGTCATAGACCACATGGTTTTCTGCTGATTATCTTAAAAACTACTCAACACAAAGTTGTTATATTTCACATACTGATTGGGACCCCTTTTGATTTTGGGGTCACTAGGTTAAAGGTCAAAGTCACAGAGGCCTTAAATGTTGGAATGGTTTCCGCTCATTATCTTGAAAACTGTTTATCTCAAAGTTCTTATATTTCACATACTGATTGCATATAACTAGTAGATGACCCTTATTCATTTTGGTGTCAAAGGTCAAGGTCAGAGGGGCCTTAAATGTTAGAATGATTTCCGCTGATTATCTTGAAAACTATCACAAAATTTTCATGTTTTACATATTGATTATTCATATGTAGTAGATGACCACTATTGATTTCGGGATTTCTGGTTTAAAGGTCAAGGTCACAGGGACCTTCAATGTCAGAATGGTTTCTGCTTATTATCTTGAAAACTACTTATCACAAAGTCTTGATATTTCACATATTGATTATACATATAAAGTTGATAACTTCTATTGATTTTGGGGTCACTAGTTTAAAGGTCAAGGTCACAGGGGCCTTTAAATATCAGAATGGTTTCCACTCATTATCTTGAAAACTATTTATCACTTTGTCTTTATATTTTTATCACTTTGTCTTTATATTTTACATATTGATTGGTTATAACTAGTAGATGATGACCTCTATCAATTTAAGGGTCATTAGGTCAAAGGTCGTGGTCACAGGGACCTTAGATCTGTCTGCCTGTCCATTGGTAGACCACATGCATGGTTTCCATTGATTATCTTAAAAATTGTTTATCAAAAAGCCTTCATATAATTCACATACTGATTGGTCATAACTAGTACATGACCCTTACTTGATTTTGGGGTCACTATGTTAAAGGTCAAGGTCACAGGGCCTTACATGTCGGAATGGTTTTCGCCTATTATCTTGAAAAGTATTCATCACAAAGTCTTCATATTTCACATATTTATTAGTCATATGTTGGTTGACCACGTGGTTTCCATGGACTGATTATGTTAATATATAATCTTCATATTTCACATACTGATTGGTCATAACTAGTGGATGACCCCTATTGATTCTGGGGTTACTAGGTCAAAGGTCAAGGTCACAGGGACATTTAATGTCAGAATGTTTTCCACTCATTATACTAATGATAGCTTTCGATCAGTTTCAGGTCATATATTGGTCATTATTTTCCTTTTTCCATAACTGACGTACCCATTTATGGCATGTTTCTATTATGATAACAAAATTACCAATAATATGAGCCAGGGCTAGAAGGGGGCATATATGTTGTCTGGCATTACTTGTTTCAATTGTTTTTGCATTATATTTGAGAAAGAAAATGTAAATCACAGGGTGACACATAATATATAGTCAAATCCCAGGTGGTAGGGATGGGGGTGGTCATAACCCCCTAACCTCGCCCCGTCTAGCTGTACCTGTACAAGTAATTATTAGACACAGAAGAATATCTTGTGCATTACTAAAATACCAGAAATACCTAAAGCAACCATAAAAGCATTTTATAAGAAAGTCTTGGAAATAACACCATTTTCAAACTTGGATTGAAAATAATGCTTTTGGGAGAGGACCCATCCCATTTCAGGTAAATGTATAGGGCCCAATATCCAAAACAATGTGATGCCCCTGTATAGATGCATTATGTAAATATTTCTGTATTTTGCAGGTTTATCAAATAAAGAAGTAAAAACTTTTGAAAAATATATATCAATAAAATTAAATCAACTACAATTGGCTTATATTTCAATTTCACATAAATTTCGGATGCTTGGTTAGCAGAGGCTGTTAAAATATCAGTGTTTGTAATTAACAAATGAAATTACCTATTATAGTGTCTAGAAATAAACTTACTATCATTTGTGGTGAGCAATTAATGGCAAATCATTTTGATTAAATTTAAACTCCTATTGTTGACTTTAAATTTGATATCATATGCAATAAAAAGATTGCTCAACATTGAAAAAATGACCTATCAGTGAACAACTTAAGACTAATTTTGGATAAGGAATAACCTTATACTACATGACCATGTAGTAAATGCAAATGAAAATACATGTGTATTATTACAACATGTCATTGTTCAGCAATAGGTCAGCCATTTACAGTCTAATGTGATATTATATTTAAATGTTCCCTTCACATTGAAAATTACATGTTGAACTTGTATCATTTATGAATCAAGGTCATATTCCATATGTCACAATGATTTAGCCATGGTCTGTATACCATGCTGTATAGTTAGTGATAATTATGTTATGCTTATAGAAAAATATTTATAAAGTCTAACAATAGTAAAAATTCTCTACAGAGAAATTGGCAAGAAAAAAAGGCCAACATTTAAAAGCCTAATTTGAGGCATTAAAGCCCACATTAATATGTTCTTACCAATCATAACAGTTAAAACGTGTCTTTTATATACTTTTTAACATTTTAAATGTATACAATTTAACATAATGATAAAAAAAATCATTGAAACTAATAATAAATTAAAATCTTTAAATCAATATCAAAGTTCATATCAAACCTGTCACTTCTATTTCATGAAGGTAGAATATAACAAATAAATCCATTAATGCAATAATAATGATTTAAATACAGCGAGTGTGGTATTCATACAGTAACAATATCAATCACAAAACATACAGGATCTTTAAGTATTCAATATTGTACCTTAGAAATGTAATCCGTTATTTTTTTTCACAAATAAATGTTAACTGCTAATATTTTGCTATCACTATTTGATTCATGTCAACATTTACTTCCTGGTTTTACATTGATTGGCCACGTAGATAAAATTTTAGATGTACAAAAAATTTTTTTTTTAAATGTTTAAACTGAAAGAAAGTTGTCATTTATTTAATTGATACAGAATAAAAGTATATTGTTGGAAATTTAATAGATCTACATTTAACATTTAATTGATTAAAAATAGATTTTCATTAAGGTAGACCATGGGCTATGCAATACCTCCACTTTGAAGAGTATTCAAATAGATTAGAATCACATGTCAACTACATTGAAATTAAGGTGCGTGGGTTCAAACCCCAGATAAGGCAACTTTTTTTCTTTCTTCTTTTCTTTTTAACATCATTTATGTATATCTCAGATCTCTTATGGAAGAAAAACGTGTTTGATTCCAATTATATAATTATCGTAGGTATTTATTTGCTAAAAATGCCAGATTTAATAGCAAATATGATACCAGATATTTTCAAAGTTTAATAAATAAAACTACACGGTAAAAGAAGTATTTTACATTTCGCATGATCAACCAATATACTTAAAAAACAACATTAAGGGAAACTTTGAAAACAGCCACTCATTGTGGTAAATTTGAGGGATATTTTGAATAAGGCTTTTTGTATAGGGAAATGGTCAAATAAGTGTTTAAAGTGGGTGGGGTAGGGTAACATGTTCATACATATGAAAAACATTTTGTTTAGAAACAATCATTTTGCTTTTTGTTTAGAAACAATCATTTTGCTCTTGTAACTTGTTACCTGAATGTTAATTTTTGTTTCTTAACAATAAGCAGGGCAAACATTTTGCATAATGATGGTATTATAGATTAGTTATAGTTTTCTCATTTCTGGAAGAAAAACCCGTTCTTATAGCAAAATTTTAGGTCAGAAATATATCCATAACTCATAAACCACACGGTAAATTTTATTTTAAATTTTGCATACTGGTGACCTTTCATCACATAACTGTCCTATGTTGTCAATTTCACAGTTCCTTATGGTGCCTATTACCCATGGTCTACCTTAAAGGTATAATTTCATATTACTAAATTTAAGTCAAAACTAACATAAAATGCATGTTGAATATTAAACCTTGTTTTATTATGCTATGAAAACTCAGACAGTATATACTTCAAGTTTAAAAATATATAGACTTACAAATGCATTACTTATCTATCTTTGATTCAGTCAATGACAATCCCTGCTTTGGACCTAGACTTTGAACGTACTTGCGTCATGCAGCTGGCTCTGTTAATAAATCTCTGCTTTTCTTTGGCAGTCGTGATTAGTCATAGTAACGAGTCCTTGGTAAAAATATTATAGTGGTGTTCAAAATGTTTAAAGGTATATATTAATGTCATACGACCTTAAATACCGCATTTTATTTGAAAATCTTGGAAATTACAATTTTGTAAATAAAACTTTTGATTATAGGTAACTACAAGAAAAGCATTGATGCAAAGCATCAAAGGGCGTCCAAGCAAGATATGCAGCAGGTGCAGATGAACTAGTAGATATATAATGACAAGATATTCTAATAAACTGTTCAATGGTTCATTGGTTTTTACCAGAATTGTATATCACTTACGAATGAACGAACGAAAGACATTGTTGATTATTTATAACTTTGATTGGCATGCTAGAAATTAGAATACTACTTGCTATTTCTTTATGATCGTGGTTATTAATAGCAACGGATATACACGTATACAATCATTTATAATCCATATGAGTAACGCATGATCAACACCACACTTGTGTAATTGTCCCTTATTATGTTATCGCTATTAGCGAAGACCCCCTCTTAAGCTATCTGTTCACACTTAGTAACAATATGACACTTGTTATATTACCATGTTGAGCATAAATGTTTATTATACACTAATTGTAATATCTTTTTTAATAAAAAATACAGATTTTATGAATATTGTTTTCTTTTCTTTTTTGTGTTTTATGCACTACTTTAATACTGAGTTTTACGTTTACTACTATTTTAAGAATTCAATTGTCATAATGACCGACGATTATAAGTCAAAACTCAACAGGAAAAAATCAGTAAATTATGGTTGAACTTTCAATATATAATATTGTTTATTCTTAAACCATATACATGTATATACATTTGTATTTTTCTTTATCATTTTTTAAATTATCAATCAATTGAATAATTCATAAAATCTGATTTGTAACTTTGAATAATTCCTCGGCATCTTTACTAAACACGAATAACAAATTAAATAAAATGTTTCAAAGTTGATAGTGTCATATTAATGCCATAAAAATGTACATTTTTTCTCAATTATTGTACATATTTATTGTTTTTATTCTCATATAGATAAAATAAAACATGCGATTTGTGTTGTTGGTTTTTTTTTTTTTTTCGAATTGTATGTTTATGTATAATAATAATCAATAAATTTGAGAGTTGATCTATTTTTATTAATTATTGTAACCAAACTAAGTGACAAACATTCATTTTGAAAAAAAAGCTTATTTATCTGTAAAATATTTGTTCTGTTCTGTAACGATATCAAACATCTACTCCAAAACCGGAAGAGACCGGACAATAAACGTGTGGTACTATTCGCCGGTCGTCAAAATAGACCAGGAGAGACCGGGAATTACCGACAAGAGTACATCCCTCTATAAATAGATTTTCGGAATATTTAGGTCATCAACTCAACATTCTATTTACAGCTTTCGGAATAACATACCATAATAACCCACTGTGTACTACAAAATGATAAATAAAAATACCCCGAAGAGCGCGATTTATTGACGGAAAAGGTTAATTAATTTGAAAATGTTTAAATTGCGAAATTATCCAGTTCGCTATTCATTGTAATTAATAATCACGCACCCTCATACCAATCGGAATGATCGGCTTTTATTATGAACAACTATAAAGGCTCGAGAAGTTGCTGTCGCCCTTTCACAAAATCTGATTTCATTACATAAAAGGCGCCGCGCTTCGGCGCGGACGCCAAAAACTTATTAATAAATTATTCTATTGATTTGTAAAATTTATAATAAAACTTACTGATAGTGAACTTGATACGGAAGGGCATTAGTGCCAGGTGTATGTTTTTTATTAACTCGAAATTTCGAATTAATAAAAAACATACACCTGGCACTAATGCTCCTCCGTATCTTTATGATTAAAAAGAAAAACACATTTTTTTCATTTTTTAGCTCACCTGTCACAAAGTGACAGGGTGAGCTTTTGTGATCGCTTTTCGTCCGGAGTCCGTCCGTCGTACGTCCGTCCGTCGTCCGTCCGTCGTCCGTAAACTTTTACTTTAAATGACATCTCTTCATAAACCTCTGAGCCAATTTCATCCAAACTTCACAGGAATGTTCCTTTGGTGGTCACCTTTAAAAATTGTTCAAAGAATTTAATTCCATGCAGAACTCTGGTTGCCATGGCAACCGATCGCAAAAACTTAAAATATCTTCTTTTAAAAAACCCAAAGAGGTAGAGCTGAGATATTTGGCATGAAACATCTTCTAGTGAGTGTCTATCAAGTTTGTTCAAATAAAAGCCATGGGGTCAAAATTGGCCCCGCCCCGGGGGTCATTGTTTTTCCCTATATGCATATTGTAAAAAATTAAAAAATCTTCTTTTAAAGAACCCAAAGAGCTAGAGCTTAGATATTTAGCATGAAACATCTTCTAATGGGTGTCTACCAAGTTTGTTCAAATAAAAGCCCTGGGGTCAAAATTGGCCCCGCCCCGGGGGTCATTGATTTTCCCTATATGCATATAGTAAAAACTTAAAAAATCTTCTTTTAAAGAACCAAATTGAGCTAGAGTTAAGATATTTAGCATGAAACATCTTCTAATGGGTGTCTACCAAGTTTGTTCAAATAAAAGCCCTGGGGTCAAAATTGGCCCGGCCCCAGGGGGTCATTGATTTTCCCTATATGCATATAGTAAAAACTTATAAAATATTCTTTTAAAGAGTCCAAAGAGCTAAAGCTAAGATATTTAGCATGAAACATGTTCTAATGAGTGTCTATCAAGTTTGTTCAAATAAAAGCCCTGGGGTCAAAATTGGCCCCGCCCCAGGGGGTCATTGATTTTCCCTATATTCATATAGTAAAAGCTTATAAAATCTTCTTTTAAAGAACCCAAAGAGCTAGAGCTAAGATATTTAGCATGAAACATCTTCTAATAGGTGTCTACCAAATTTGTTGAAATAAGAGCCCTGGGGTCAAAATTGGCCCTGCCCCAGGGGTCATTGATTTTATTTATGTGTATAGCAAAAAATTAAAAAATCGTCTTTAAAAAAAACCCAAATAGCTAGAGTTAAGATATTAAGCATCAAACATCTTCCAGTTAGTGTCTTCAAAGTTTGTTCAAATAAAAGCCCTAGGGTCAAAATTGGCCCTGCCCCAGGGGACATTGATTTTCCTTATATATGTATAGCAAAAACTTAAAAATCTTCTTTGAAAAGAAACCAAATAGCTAGAGTTAAGATATTAAGAATGAAACATCTTCTAGTGAGTGTCTTCAAAGTTTGCTAAAAAAAGCCCTGGGGGGCAAAACTGGCCCCGCCCTAGGGGTGTCATTGCTTTGAACTATATGTGTATAGTTAAAACTTAAAAAATCATTTTTTTAAAAACTCAACGAGCTAGACCTTAGATGTTTAGCATGAAACATCTTGTAATGGGTGTCTACCAAGTTTGTTCAAATAAAAGCCCTGGGGTTTAAACTGGCCCCACTCTGGGGGCCTATATACAGGTGAGCGACTTCAGGGCCATCATGGCCCTCTTGTTTTAATACTTGTTCATCATACCATTTGTACAAGCCTCACCAGGCATTGTTAGACACTGTAAATATTATACTGCGTGTATATACCTCACTTCTTGTGACACATAACTAGATGCACAATCTTCTCACATTTATTCTATAATCTTAACAAGGTTTATAATTGTTGTACCATTTTTGTAGATAAGTTTTATCTGGTGGAGCTAAGTCGTTTCAATTTATTTATATACACATGAATGCATAAATTATTAGAAATTTTCATACATTATTATATTATGTTTTATCACA